TTGGGGGTAAGCGGCGCTCCTACAACGTCGATGATCTGCTCCTTGGCTTCCACCTTAATGTCATCTGCGGTGAGCCAGGACTGAGATTCAGCCCCCGGGGTGGAAGCTGTAGTGCTGTTGGTGGCGTTGATTTCCCCACCCTGTGATGCAATGACTGGACCGGCTCCTACGGTTCCCACGCACCCGCCGGCCTTCAGCAGGGCCTCGTAGCGATGACGCAGCATCTGCTGCTCGTATTCACAGTTGCTGTGGGCCTGCTTCAATTCATACAGCAGCACCAAGTCACTACGAAGCTCATTGAACATCTGCACAATCTCCTCGGTGGGCATGGGGTTAAGATCTACAGAAGGGCACAAAGAGGAAACACTAAAGTGTGATTTAAGCACTTTAACACATTTATTTAGTTGATGGTGTGCACAGGCTACGCATGCACAGTCGTGACACGTCAAGTCTGTTTAGCTAAAGTGGTTACATGTTACAAAGTGTTGTTGCCTAAGACGCTGCAAACAAATATAAAGTCACGTGAAAAACTTCCCGTGTTCAACTAAACCCTGCAAAGGTTAAAAGGTTACATAATGCTTTTATTTCCTGTACTGAAACTAAACTCTGTTGCAAAGAAGAGTTCAGACTGAAACTGGGGAACGTTAACAAATTGCTAAAGTTTAGTCATCCTCACCCACTCCTTGCTCCATCAGGATCTGCTCAATGGCCTTGATCTTCTTCTGGCCTACGGAGCTTGGCAGTTTCATCTTAATAACACACAAACACGCAGAGAGAAATGCACACACACACACACACACACACACACACACAAGCGTGATTTAAGGTACCGGGACATTAGGATAAACAGCTCCACCTCGGGGCTTTTAATTCGTATGAAATGCACTTCAGCGGGCCAGATCAAAATGTCTTTATCCACTGAACTCTGTCTGACTGATTAGCTGTGGGGCCACTCCACTCCTTTAGCTGTGCAAATGTATTTTCCATAGAGAGCGGCAGCTCCTCATCAGTCTTGAAGATGAATAAGAGTCCCCGTGCTAGGCTAGGTTTTACAGATATTAGCTAGTCAGTAATAGAATTAATTATCACAGTGATAAGAGGAATAGCTACTAAAGTCAGAAACTCGAGTTTCTCACAAATCAGCACCTTGAAATTAAGAGTTGGACAAACAAAAACTTGCTATTTTAAAGAATTTCACATTTTTACTTTTTATTTTTACAGCAATTCCCTAAGATTACAATTTTATAGGACTATTTAATAATATTGTCATTTGGTAAGAGAACAGGGCGGAGCTATACTCACCCTCTGACTGCGCAGTGTGACGCCCGCTGATTTGAAGTCAGGGAATTTGATGCCTGCCGTCTCTGGAACAGCCTAAACAAGAAAAACTATAAATGTGAGACACAAACTGTTTGGATACGTCTGAAACGTCACCATAGAGGCATTATTATGGATCGAACTGGGTTTTAAATGTTACTTAGAATGCTGAGAGAAGACTTGTCCCATCAAAATAAAGAAATGAGCAAAACATCACGGAGACAAAAGCAAGTAACAATTAATTTAGTGCAAAATGAGGACAACAGCTGCACTGTGTCCGTTATTATTATTAAAATTCTCCCCATTGTTGCTTTTCTTTGACTTCCTCTGTTACCAGCAGTCATCACGTGCTTTACTTTGCTCCTCTTGAGTGAAATCATATCATACCGGTTTTTCTGTTTCTCTTTTTTGTGGAAGCTTCTTCTTGGAAACTCTCTTTTCAGCTCGTCTCAACTCTGTCGTTGTGTCAGCTGCCTTAATGAGTTTTTGCAGATCCTGGGCTTTCTTCTCACGCTCTTTCTTCCTAGTCTCAATTTTCCTTAGCTCCTGAACAAGATACTCCTCTTCTGCCACCTGCAGGGAAAAACGGAGAAATGCAGTCTTTCACATTTAAAAGGCCGTGAAAAATCTTTTTCTTCTTTTTTTCCCCCACAAAAAGAAAGTGTCTATACACCTGCACATAGACACAGGTCAAAATCACAAACCTGTTCAGGTGTGCGATTGAACAGCTTTTCCAGCTGCTCTTTGCGGCGCCTTTCATGGCCAGCGTCAAAGATGTAGATTTTGGGTTCTGTCCCTGATGCTGCGCGCACTTTGGTCAGCTTACCACAAATGCTGTAATATCGTTCTTTCAGGTCCTCCACAGAGCGTTTCTGACAAAAAACAAACAAAAAAAACAGTTTTTAAAATTAAAACATGTGCTTTAAATCCCCCTTACTGTATTTTTCAAATCCATTATCTATAGATGAGGCTCTAAACACTTACTCTGTATTGCTGGTGATCATATCGGTCATGGACAACGATGAAGCGTAAGTCAAACCGCTTGCAAAGGTCAAACAGGTGGTCTGTCTCTGCTTTAGTCCAGCCGTCATCGTGGAGATGCATTTGGTACTCTTGCTCCGAGTACACTGGCACCTGCACGGTCTATAGAGGTAAAACAGAGAAACCGTGAAAAAGGATGAATAATGCGAAAGGACGGGTAGCTGCAACCACATGTCCTTCTTGCCTGTACTACATAAGCAGAGGAGGGTTTTCCCTACCTTGTTAAAGCGAGCAAAAGGGTAGTCCTTGCCCTCTTCTGCAACACGTCTCCAGTGGTGGAATATGGCCCCGTCTCTGCGTGCTGGATTTGTGAAGGGCATCCACTTCCAGGGACGAACCTTTTTACAGCCTAACTTGGCTTTGACTGTCCTATAACCTTGAGTGGTGTCACTAGGCAGCAGGGGGGGTGCATCCCTATGGACAAACAGAAAAAACAATTCTTTATTATCAATATTATTATTATAATTGTTATCATAAAATAAAGAAACACAGAAATGCAAAGTTATTTACACTTTAGATTCCTTCCAAATGCAAATAAATCCCTTTGAAATTCCCAAACAGGAAACATTAAAAAGGCCTTTATGCATTTCAGATGAACTGACTAATATTGAAAAAGAAAAGCATACTTCTTATCAGAATAAAGCAGAGCGTAGACCTCTCTGTGCATTCCCTCTGGTCTCTTAAAGGTCAGCGTCTCTGTTGCTTTCTTGGTTTTTTTCTGAGGTGGAAGATGCAGACATTCGTTATTCAACTGCAAAAATATTTGTGCTCAAACAATTGTAATACACATCTCTTCAGTTTCTCTCCCTGGCAAAAGCTTTGAGCTGTAAGTACATTATTATACCTGCATGTTACAAACCCAACAGCTAGTGAAATTCATTGAAGGCGTAATTTACACCAGTGTTACTTAAATCCAGGGACAGACATCGTTAGAATTATCGTATACAACACAAAACACAAACGTCCATCTCACTATAAGACAAACATGAATAACACAGTCTCACCTTGTCTGAGTTGATGAGGTCTTTCTTGGTGATGGGACCATCATTATCCCCTCCGGTCAACTCAAGAATATCTCTGACATCAGCACCGGTAGCCATGGCTGTGTGAGATTAACTGTTTAGCTATTTAACGTTTTGAAAAATCTATCAAAGCTAAATAACACGAATTAATTTACGCGCACTCATTCATTCTGTGCATGTGGTAACGAAAGACTCGTCGTACACTCTCCTAGCTAAGCGCTAATGCTAATGTTACCATTTCGGTAGCAACGCTTAGGCCTCAGAACCGCAAACAGCAATATAAAGAGTTCGTAAGAGTTTATATTCCTAATATTACTGCGTACTTGACTACAATATGTGAACATTACAGGGCCATTTATAATGAACATTCACGAGATAGCTGTTAAGGCAAAGAGAGCAATTAGCACAAAACCGACACTCCTTCCGTCCCCGCTCACGTCGTTGTGACTAGACGGATTGCCTGTTAATTATCGCCCCCGTGAGGTCTGGCGGGCATAACAACTTGAATTCAGCTTTATTATGTTTACATTGTTAAATAATGTGAACGACAGTAGAGGTTAAAAATACCAATAAAATCATTGCAATAGAATACAAATTTTTCAAACCGTGCCCAGCACATTTGTAAAATAATTGCAGAGCATAAAGCTGTGATGCCATTATAAAAATAGTAACGCTTCAAACATGAAGGACCTGTTTGTCACGTTTCTTTGAAAACATATAAACCTTTGCTACTTATTTTACCGTTCATCAAACTTTATGTACGCTTGCACATTATTCTGAAAATCAATGTACGTGCCGCGATGTCCTTAGTTTTAAAAGAAAATACCGGAAGCAGACCCTTTCATTGAATGAAGACAATTGATCGAACAGCTTGGTGATATGAAACTAAAACTGGACTTGGTTGATTTATTTCGTAAGAACTCGATAAGTGAAAGTTATCAGGCCATATTTTGTTTGTTTTTTTTAAGGCAGACTAATTTGTCTGGGACGATTTTATTTTATTTTTTTACATTTCGGTCCACACTCCTCACCGGATGGTGGCGGTAATGTACCATTTTGCTGTTTGTCAACCACCGATAAATAATATAAAGAAGAAGAAGAACCTCTCGTTTAAACTCATGCTTCCTCCTTCTTTCCGCCATTTTCCTCCGTTGGCGTAGCACTGAGAGGTGTTGTACGAATTCAGTATATGTGCTTTTGAGTTTCTCTTTAGAAGCGCAAGAATCAGTAATATCAAATTTTCTAGTACAGTTTCCCTTTATAAGCACTCATTTGCGTAAGAAAATGTCTAACGAGCAGGTAGAAACTACCACAGAGCAAGCAGGCCAGCAGCAGCTGTCGACGCCGCCTCAGCAGCAGCCGACTTCGCAGCAGGGGTAGGTCCATTCATCGAGGTTCCTTTGTTGCGGCTTATTAGCTAGTTGGGCTAATTTGGTTTCTTACACAGCGATAAATTTGTATACAGCGGCATCTCTTTAATTATATTTTTTAAAAATGCAATTAATGGTAGACTAGCAGCCCCGGTGTGCTTTAAATACGTTTTGTACGTGTTTTTCTAGCTTAAGCGGCTTGCATTTGGGGCCCGTCTGTTTACCGAATGCAACCCTGCGTTATATATTACTGGATGTATGATAGGATTAGAAGTACACGTAGCTGTTGCTTTGTTGCAACAGAAAGTGGACATATTTAACTTTATGTCCGGTCGCTGTTGCTGCTTTTTGGCATTACTTAAAGCCGTTTAATATAGCACAGGCCCGCTTTATCCAAGGAGAGGCCTAGCCATGCGGCTGGATTGCAGATAGCAGGCTGCTAGTTAACCATTGTGTGTCTGTAAATGACGCCTGTGTCTGCAGTTAGCATTAGCATTTAGCATTGAAATTCACTTTTCCTTAGGCAGTGGTTTCCAAACTTTGTTAGCTAGACCCTCCTTTGTTTTACAAGGAAACCTTCTGTAAACAAATAAACAAACAAAAGTAAACTGCAATAAAATAAACTATCACCAATAAATAACAGAGCCCCCTACCCTAGGAACCACTGACATGAGCTATCTTTCTGTTCCCCCCAGATTTTGGAAAATGTTTTGTTACAGTAGTTATAAGAAGTTAAACACAACAAACATAACAATTTGCATAAATACATAAACTATAGCTAATTAAAGTACAAAAAACACAATATAACAAACATTTTAAAGTAAGATGAATGGATTGTAACGAAGCAAAAATGGGAGATGTGATGGATGTGAGTTTGGCAAGTCTTTTAAAAGCTTTTTAAAGTATGTTTAGAAAGTTTTGTGAACTTTTTGCAGGGAAATGAATGGAAAAGGCAAGAATGAGGCCAATGCCAGCAGGAAGGAAAGGCCTCAGAAGAGAGGTGGAGGTGGTCGCTATGAGCCCTATGGAAACGCAAACAAGAGATACCGCGTTTTCGTCAGCAACATCCCATATGATGTGAAGTGGCAAGCCCTGAAAGATCTGATGAAAGAGAAAGGTAAGGTATCAGGATTAGGGGTTGACTCGTGTCACATTTTTGACATGATAAAAGATCAAATCAGGATGCAGGGTCATTTTGTTTGACCACTGCAGTTTTGAAGAGCTCTGGGGAGTTGTACAGTGTTGTCTGAGACCATGCTGGAGTCACTTGGAACAAAGGTTGTGGACAAGGTCCCCTTTTTTTAATCTGTCTGTCAGCTAAGGAGTCGCTGCAGACGTGTACAAGCGTGGTGAACCTGGATGTTTGAATTTTCAGTCTCCATTAAGATTACTAAAATCTTGAGTTTTTGTGAAGTGGAGGTCGTAAATGTGCAAAGGAAGTCCACTAACTCGAAAGTCCAATGGCTTGTGATCATGAATGGGATAATGATGTGGTTCCTCCCCCAAGAAATGCATTAAAAATACAGTTCTTTGTTACAGTATAGCGATTTTTTTGGTCCAGAAACATGGAAAAGGTTGTTTTCAGTTGAAATTTGTAATTAACAGTAAAACCTACACACTTAAGATTTATTAACTTGTGGTCAAACCTTCGGAGAAATGTAATATTTAATTTGTGATGCAGTAAATGTGGATGTGAGTAAGGATTATTTAAAAGTCAATTAAAGTGTTAAAAATGTTGTGTAGCTATGGAGTAATGCATTTAACTGGCACCTATTTGAGCATGTGTTAAGAAGGCTACAATGCTTTTTCAGAAGGTCCAAGTAGTATTTGTTTCATGACAACTGACTGTGGAGTTAAATTGCATTTTCTTTTTTAGGTGTGACCTTGACAAGCAAACGTTTTTCTCGGCAGATCTTCATGTTGTACCAAGCACAGCTTTGTGCTGCGGATTTATTTGGGGTACAGGTCTACAAAACGAAGCAGCTTCTTATGCACCGTCCTTGTCTCTAGAGGTTTGGTCATCAATGTCCATTTGTTGAGCAGACATGAAACAAAGGCGTGGCCGTGGTCGACGCTGAATCCAAATTACGATCGTGCATTTCAGGATCAGTCCATGATCAGGTTGGCAGTTAGAGAAGCTTCTCATCCAAAAGTTTTTCTTCATTACGATTATGGGTAGGTTTCTAGCTCAGCTAGGCTCAGCTGATGGACTGAGGGTTAAAACCGTTGCTGAGGTTTGACAGGAAAGTGGCTGAGGTATTAAGGAGGCTTTGCCAACTTGAAATTATTTGGTCAATTATCTTCAGGTAGAAGAGGTGGTGTTTGCGGCATCATATCCAACTTGAAAGGTTGGCCAGTCCAAAAGTTGTTGTCCTCAGTCTACTGCGTTTGGTGTTTCGGGAGAATTCCAACAAGGACGGGCTAAGAAGTCTCAATTAATTAAAGAAAGAGGGGAAAAAGTCCAAGCTTGCTTTTTGTAGACCTGTACCAGATTGTGCTGAATGAGGTGCTGGGGGAAGGCTCAGGACTGGCTGTCTGAGCTCACTGTCACCGGCCGCCCTACTTGTTTCTGCTCTAAACCCCCATTGTTCTCTCGGCTTCTCTCCCCTTGGTGTGTGTCGTCTCTGGAATCTGATTTGTAGTGGGTGAGGTAACGTACGTGGAACACTTAATGGACGCAGAAGGCAAATCCAGGGTAAGTGCAAATACATACAAATAAAACACACGAATAAGCCTAGACAAACCTGTGTTTGTCAGCTTTGGTTTCCTTATTTACTATGTTGGGAATTGTTCAGATACAAACCTGGTGGAGTGTGTGTGACGGTGACGTGCCGGAGGCATGTTTCATTTGAAGTTGTCTGTGGCATTGACTCGAGGCCAGCGAAGGGTTGATGATCTTATAACAGGACTTCAGCTCCTTTGTAGCCAATCCTGTGGGATTGCAGTAGCTGATAATGTCCCTGTGGTTGTGGGATTTGCTCCTTATGATCTAATGGGTCGTAGTCTGCAAGAGGTCGTAGCAAGGCTGCTAGATGGTTGATAAATAAAACTCATTCCATAGAACTGCTGGAAAACTCTAATATCTTAGTAGTTGGGAATCCTCTGTCACTGTCTGCCTTTAGGATGCTGGGGAAACTATATTGAATACATTTGCCTGTATTGTGTTACTGGCTTGGCTTAAAAAGATCTTAATGTAGTGTTATTTTGGAAGATGTGACCAAGGCTGTAGGCTTGTGTATGGTGATGAACTTTTAATTGCATGAGATTATTTTGACATGTCAAAATATGTCCAGTGTTACAATCACTTTAACTAATTTGAAATATTTTCTCTTCCCTTTGATTTGTTCCAATGACTTCAATCAACAAAGGGTTGTGCGTAAGTAGACTTTAACTTATCGTCAGAAGCAAATAGTGCAAACTGCACGTGAGACATGCACCAGTGTTTTACACACTTAAACTCTCACTGGAAATGTGTTTTTGTCAGTGTTGTTGAGTTCAGGACGGAAGAGTTGATGAAGAAAGCAGTGGAGAAGGTCAACAAGCACAACCTCAATGGTCGTCCCCTCAAAGTGAAAGAGGTAGGTCCCAGATGGGGGGCTGTCCGACGCACTGAACAGACAAAAGCTGCACTTGTGGATTTTGCCGACTCATTATTTTGTGCTTCTTTGTAAGGATCCTGATGGTGTGATTTGCCAGCGGGAGATCAACAAGGCCCAAGGTGGAGGCCCTCCAGGAGGTCACGGCGGAATGGGTGGCATGGGGGGAATGGGAGGCATGGGAGGAATGGGTGGAATGGGCGGCATGGATCGTATGGGTCCTGGACCAAATGGTCCCATGGTCAACATTCCTCCGAGCCTCCTGAATAACCCGAACATCCCCAATGAGATCATCCATGGTCTCCAGGCTGGCAGGATTGGCAGCACTGTCTTTGTGGCTAATGTAAGCCTTACTGATTTATGTTTTTCAGTCTGTGTACGAATACTAAATATATGGAGCTGTGTGTTATTAAAGAGGCCAAGAAATGTAAAAGAAGTCCAAACTAATCCTGCAAAACTAATAATTTGCATTTACTGTAGCTTTAGTCTTGTCTAACTGTCTGAAACTGTACCTACAGCTTGACTACAAAGTGGGCTGGAAGAAGCTGAAGGAGGTGTTCAGCATGGCGGGCATGGTGGTGAGGGCGGACATTCTGGAGGACAAGGACGGGAAAAGTCGAGGCATGGGCACCGTAACTTTTGATATGCCCATCGAAGCAGTGCAGGCTGTCTGTATCCTTTAGAAAACTTCAGCACTTCTATGGTAGCCATTGAATCTTTTTGAATCTCTCATTATTGGTTTCAAGGTGTGTGTGTGTGTGTGTGTGTGTGCACGTTTTCCTTAATGATTTCAAAGCAATGTTCAATGGACAGCTCCTGTTTAACAGGACGATGCACGTCAAACTGGTATGTTGCCTTTACTGTACATTAGAGCTCTATGGCCTGATGATGAGTGTGGTTATAATGCCTTTGCCTTTTTACAGGATGAGAAATCTCTTCCTAAAGATTTTGGACCACCGGACAGAGCAGCTGCCCTTCCCCGTGAGTATACATCGAGCCTTGTTCGAGTATAAAAGAAGGTTTTGAGAGTTTAAAGTATTCATGTCGATTAAAGTCCCGATTTTTATGATTAATTTTGTTAAATTAGATGAAATATTTAGTCTTGTCTCACTCGAGTTGCTGCATTGAAGACCACTTTGACCCATGCTACCATCGTTTTTGTTAAACTGGGGAGAGAGAAACCAGTAACTGTGTTTAATGATATTCCAAAACATCGCCCATCTCCTACTCTGTGCTCGCGCTTCATGTCTGTGGTTTCCCAGCAGCCCCTGGGGTCATGTGACCTTTGTTTCTTGGAGGTCGACATTGGTTTACTGCTTCCCCTGAAAGTGTCAGCTGTATTTATGCTACTGACTATATCATTATGTGTGTGTGTGTGTGTGTACACACAATCTTCAAACTTAACCTGTTGTCTCTGAACCAGGTGGCCTGAGTGGTATTGGTTTGGGACTGGGACCTGGGGGCCAACCTATTGATGCTACTCAGCTCAACAGAGGTGGTGGTGCAGGGATGGGCAACATGGGTCCTGGAGGTACCCAACTGCAGCTTCTTAAAACACATTAATTTATTTTTAATCCAGCAGTGGAGTGGGAGGCTCATTGTCACTCTGTCCCTGTAGGTATGGAAGGAATGGGCTTCGCCAACATGGGAGGCCGGATGGGAGGAGGAGGTATGTAGTACAACTTTGAGTCTACCTACATTTGGTCTTTCCAAAAAAAGTGTTTTCTGTAATATTAATGTCTTCTTTGTTTATAGGGATGGACAACTTTGGAGGAATGAACATGGACCGCTTTGGCTCTTCAGGGATGGGCAGGATGAACGGTAAGCAAGTGTTGAAAACCCACTCAGCCCTCCAGAGCAAGCGTGGAACAGTTTCACGTTTTGCTGGATGTCTAATGGTTTCATCTCTTGCATTGTCAGAGATGGACCGTGGGATTGGTGGTGCTTTTGACAGGGAATTTGGGCGAAATGAAATGGGAATGTCTCGCAATAATTTTGGAGACTCCTTTGAAAGAGGAATGGGTTAGTATTTACAGGATTCTGTTTGAAAGCCACACTGATGCTTACTTCCACTCATGCATTTCTCTCTCTCTTCTGTTTGCTCACTTTTATAGGAAGCTCGCTGGGAATGGACCGCATGGGCTCTGGGATGGACCGCATGGGAACCAACATGGACCGCATGGGAGGAATGGATCGGATGGGAATGGACAGGATGGACCGCGTGTCTGATCTAGATAGGATGGGTTCCGGGTTTGACCGAATGGGTTCTGGGATGGATCGGCTGGGACCCAGTATGGACAGGGTGGGACCTGGTCTGGATCGTATGAGTTCCGGGATGGATCGCCTCGGCCCATCTGGATTTGACCGCTTGGGCCCATCTAGCTTGGACCGCATGGGGGGTGGCGGCGGTGGTGGCGGCATGGACTTTGGCTCTCCGATGGGAATGGATCGCATGGGCAACACCGGGATTGACAGGATGGCGAGCAACTTCGACCGCATGGGCTCTGCCGGAGGACTTGACCGTTTTCCATCTGGCGGCCTTGACCGCATGAGCTCTGGAATTGACCGGATGGGATCTGGAGGTGTTGGTGGTCAGTTCGACCGTTCTGGTGACTTGGAGCGTGGATTTGGCGGCAATTCCTTTGGAGGAGCTGGGGCTGGAGGTCCTGGAGCCGGGGGAAGCAATGTCAGGAAGGGATGTCAGATCTTTGTCAGGAATGTAAGTGTTAATCACAGCTTAGCTTGGCGTATTCACTGGAGAAGTATGTCCATACTTTAAATTAATTTGGGGATGTTTTTGTCTTTCAGCTGCCTTTTGACTTCACCTGGAAGATGCTGAAGGATACCTTCAACGCATGCGGTAAGACTCAAATCAAATCAAATGAAATCAGCACTGTTAATCAGCATTTTTAGTCATTTTGGACATCTGTGTTCATCCTCCTGTAGGAATGGTCCAGTATGCTGATATTAAGATGGAGAACGGGAAGTCCAAGGGCTGCGGTGTGGTTCGCTTTGACAATCCCGAAACTGCCGAGCGCGCCTGCCGGACCATGAACGGCTATCGCCTGAATGGAAGAGAAATTGATGTTAGGATTGACAGGAATGCATAACCTGTGTGTCCGTGTTGCATCTGACATTTATTTTAGTTCGTGATCTCACTCTGTACTCCTGAACTGCCCCTTCACCCAGTGTATGTTAGATAAATGTAACAGTGAAACTCTTTATTTTTGCCCTTTCAGACATTGGATGTGTCACATGTTAAAATCACTCAGACATGGGTTAGCTTGACTTTGAGCTTTCAGCTCAGAAATGAAGTTGAGATGTGAGGCTGTTAATGTTCATGTTATTCTCCTTCTACAGTGAGCTCAGGAGACATGACTCAAACATTAGCTCGTGCTGTTGTTGCTTTCTTGAGTTTTAAGAAGTCGTTATTCAGACATGAAGCCAGCAGGTTCAGATGCTGTTAAAAGTAAAACTAAACGCATGTCTGAAACGGGCTTTAGTGACATGTCGATAGTCAAAGTGTTTGTTTTTCCTTCTGTTTAAACTTTTTAGAGACCAACTTTTAATTTTTTATTTTTTGTCCTATCATGCTTCCTGTCATTTTGTTCTGTAAGGTGTTTTGATAAAATAAACCTCAACATTTGAAATGCGTTCACTGTTTGTGGGGCTCGTGCACTGATCGCACGTTTCATAACATTTAAGCTAAATAAGCCAAATAGTGAGACTGCAGGTCAAAGTTCATCTCGTAAATATGAGGCAGAAAACACTGGGGGCGGTGGAACTGTCCTCTTGAGCTCTGGTTGGCTATTACAATGAGATTTAGCCACGCCCCCTCGTGGACGAGGAAGGTCACCACCGGAAGAAGGTCACAAGCACGACATTCAAGATGGCGACCCCCTTATGTCGGTGTTATCAGGTGAGTGTTTTGGCCATGTGTGTAAAATATCCACGTAAAAACTCCACAAAACGATAAAGGAACGAACTGAAACGACATTTATTCAACAGCCTGTTTCACCCGAAACGGTAAAAATCTCGATTTCGTTTAACTTCCTGCTAAACGTGCTGTAAGCTAGCCGAGCTAGCCGTTTGAATAGAGGGGTAAGCAGCCGGTGTCGGCGCTCTTGGAGTTGGGAGCATATAAAATGTTGGAATTTATCAGTGAAAAGTCCAAAAGCTCCAAACATTGTTTCTGGAAAACTTTATTTCTATCGTTAGCTTGTTTGCTGCTGCTTCACTTGAAGCGATAAAGAAGTTTCCTGTAAAAACAGCAAAGCTTCGTGATTTACCGTCACGTTCAGTTCAAGAGTTTATTTCAGCCTTGAGTGTCTGCTGAAGTTTGTGTTTCTTTGTCCAGATATGTGTAAGAAGGGGTTTGGTGGCTTTCCCTTCCTCCTACCTGCTGCTCTCCAACAGACCCAATGTCTACACGATACGTGGGCTCCTCACACACTCTCCACAGGTAACAACACCTGGATAAGAAGTCCT